GACAACACTGTATATATATATATATATATATATAAATTTATATATTTTCTTTTAATTTAATCATATATATTACTATACTTATTATTATTTATCCATTTTCAAATTTCATCGAAACGTCCTCTGAAAATCAATCTCGTGGAATATGTTTCATCATGTTTTCACAGTTCGTTTCCTTCGTTATCATTTACATTTTTTTTTGCAGACGTTGTGAATAATCAAGATTATGAGCGATTGTTTGTATACCGCTTTATTTAATGGAGAGAGTTTGTCGACAATCAGCGATCAATTAACGCGAAATCATCAATAATTTAAAAAAAGAGTAAATTATGGAAAGTGTAACCGTTTATCAGTGATCGTTGATTGTTTACACTTGAAAAATGTTCTAAAGCTGGATAATCTTGTTTATAGCATAATACAATCATGTAAATCATATAATGTTATTGAAACTGTTTAAAATGTGAATGAAAGAAAAGAAGAAAACATCTATTTTCTTTTATTGGCAGGCCAGTTGTAGGATTGAAATGACGTTGTGAAGATCATTTTCGAGTGGTATGAGATTTAGAAAAATATCCGTTTTATTTATTTATTATTATTAGTATACATATAATGAAAAAAAAAAGAATATAATTTATATATGAGAGATAATCAATCAAAAACCGATGAAGCAAACAGTTATTCTCGATCGAGCTAATTGCAGTCTTTACTTCCTTCTAGAAACAAGAAGAGGAACGTGAGGTGAGCCGCAAGAAGGACAAGGAAAAGGATGGTGGAGGACGCGAAAGGAAAGACCGGTCGCAAACGCACTCTCCGAGTCCTAGAAGACGCGATAAGGACGAGAAGAAGAGGAGACGGTCACGATCACGGTATTACATTTCGAGGATTTGTTGTAGGATTGTTAATTGTATGTGATGCGTTTTGTAGTTCTAGGGATAGGGTTGATCGCGACAGGAGCCGTGAAAGGGATCGCGATGTTCGTGATAGAGATAGAGAACGCGAGAGGGAGAGGGACAGAGATAGGGAGATGCGTGAGAGGGAGCGAGAGTTGCGCGAGAGGGACAGGGATAGGGATCGCGACAGGGAAAGAGACGAGAAGTCGAAGAGCACCAAGGAGTTGCTGAAAGAGAAGGAGATGGAGGAGGAGGCAAAGGAGAAGAAGAAAGCCGAGCGTAGGGCGCGCGAGAAGGAGGCCTCCTATCAAGAGCGCTTAAGGTATTAATTAAAACATTTTTATTAATGAGATTGTAAAAATATTTTCTGTAATAAGTGTAAATAACTTGATGCTTTTGTAGAGGTTGGGAGGCGAGGGAACGAAGAAAAGCCAAGGATTACGAGAAGGAGCATGAGAAGGACAGAATACGCGAGGAGGAAAGGGAAAAGGACGCTAAGCGACTCAAGGAGTTTCTGGAGGATTACGATGACGAGCGCGATGATATCAAGTACTATAAGGGCCGTGAATTGCAGAAGCGACTCGCCGAGAGGGTCAAAGAGGCCGAATCGGATGGAAGGGACAGGACTAAGGAGAAGGAGGAAATTGACGAACTTAAGAATAAAATATTCTCCGGTGAATTTGCCGATCCCAACGCGGAATTTGAAAGGGTAAGGATTGTATTGTGGCATTACGTAATAATTAGATTTACTAATTTCGTTGCGTCCATTTTTTTTTGGTGATTTCAGATTAAGAAGGAGAGGGAGGAGCAATATAAACCTAAGCTTCTGATAGATGTAAATCTGGAGCATTGGAAGCAGAAGGAGAAAGAGAAGGAACGCGAGATCGAACGTCAAAGGCAAAGGGACAGGGAACGAGATAGAGAGAATGAACGAGAGAAGGATAGACAACGACAACGGGAGGAGAGGGAGAAGTACGTTGTGCAGCAAGCAGCTCAAGAGTTGGCAGCCGTCGAAGCAGAGCCAATAGACAGCGACAGCGATATGGACAACGATCACTTCAGCCCGGCCCCGCCCGAGGATACCAGCAATGATGGACAAGCAGGATCCGCACAGGTAAACCCTATACCGGTTGGACAAACAGTTGCAGGATCTTAATCGCATACTTTATTTAAGTGGACGCAGGTCCAGACGGTGGACGAGGATTCACGTCATTCGTTAACATCCAATCACGAGGAGGAACCACCCCAGACTTATCCGACCATGAAGATGACCCTGTGCAAACCGATCGTCTTCAGTCCGCACGGCCAGACTCGGGACACCAAGAGGAAAAAGTTGGATCTGCGCGAGGTTTTCAATCCGGACGACGACGATACCAACACTCAGGTCAAAAAATTACGAAAATTAGTTCCTTTAGGTAAGCGGTCCGCCAAAATATTCGTAATATCTTGCAAATATTAAATATTGATTATCTCCTAGACTATAACGAAGATAAGAAGGGCAATAAAAAGGATAAGGAGAACGGCGAGAAGAAGTCGGACGAGTCGCTGAAATCGCAAGAGGAGAAGAGGAAGCACATCAAGTCGCTCATCGAGAAAATCCCTACAGAGAAGGACGCGCTCTTTGCATATCAACTGGACTGGTCAGCAATTGACAATGGTCTGATGGAAAGGAAGATTCGGCCATGGATCAACAAAAAGATCATTGAATATATCGGCGAACCTGAGCCCACGTTGGTAGACTTTATTTGCTCTAAAGTGATGGCCGGCTCGCAGCCACAAATTATTTTAGAAGATGTACAAATGGTAAGCAAAATGGTGGTACACACATCAAAATATAAACATACCTAATTTTTCAATTGTTTCAGGTATTAGACGAGGAAGCGGAAGTTTTCGTTGTGAAAATGTGGAGATTACTTATTTATGAAGTGGAAGCGAAAAAGTTAGGTTTAGTGAAATAATATTTTTTGTTTGCCAAACAAACCTCCTTTTATTTTTATGTTATAATAAAAATATTATTTAAAATTCGAATTCATTTTTCACTCTTTAATTATTTATTAATTGATTTGGAAAATAAACTTGCAGACAGAGAAAGAAGGATGATAATAATAATAATTAGTAAAGACAGACAGACAGACAAAAACACCATAATTTCACTTAAATTAATTTTAAAAAGAATACAACAATATTGTATGTGAACTGAACTGAGAATAAACTACTTTTGTTATTTTAAAAATATTACATAATGAATATATATATATATATATAATAAAACAAATCAGATTACAAAACTATTATGCAACTCAGGTTAAAATCACTATCATCATCATCGTAATGCTGTTTGATTAGCGTCTATCAATATACAAAAATATTCTATTCCCATTTTTATTTATAGATTATCATGTAATAATAAGTTCTTACATCATTGTCTCAAAGGCGATCATGCGCAGCGCAATAAATATATATAATATATATATATATATATAAGGAAAATGTGAAACTGTGTTTCAAGTAAACAAAAAAAAATAAATACAAGATCTATTAAATTAGGTTTGCTGTTGTTGTTGAATAAAACAAAACGATTATTAATATATCTTTATATCTTAATTCACAAATACGAATCCATATTTCCTAAAATCTAATACTTCATTTTTTTTTAAACTCATAAAAATATGTATGTACAATATGTCTGGTTATAAAAGTTAAATTAAAAGGTACTTATATAGGTTATTTAACCAATCTAACAGTAAACAGTTAATTCCCCCCCAAATAAGAACAAAATAATATACATATATATATATATATGAATTTATGTATATATATATATTAATAAAATTCTATTTCAATGACATCTTCGAAATAAGATCAAGAGAGAGAGAGAGAAAACAAAAACAACTCGTCGTTCACTCGCCGGAGATCGGTTTCCTTCCATCGCTCAAAAATTAAACTATATATATGTATATAATAAGGGTATATTATATTGAATTGATCAAGATTATTCTCAATTATGTTATATAAAATTAAATAAAAATTTGTTTGTTTTGTACAGTCTTTTGAAATGGTAATGCAGCAATTAACACCTGATCGATCCATTTCGATCAAGTACAAATTATTATTTATTTAATTCATTTTTTGAACTTGATTTGAACTCCCTGTACTCTGATTAGCGTATTGCTGGGCGTACTGCGCCCACGCAGCCTGCTGGGATGCCATTTGGGTGGTGTTGCTGGTGGTGTACTGTTGGGAATCTGATGAAGAATTAGTTGGCGTTGTACCTGTGTTTACCGCCGTTGCCTGTCCTGTCGTTTGACCCTGCAATTCAAACGAAACGAAATTTAGAAACTAAATAGAAGGCGTTTCATATTGCAATAATAATAATTGTTCCAAAATGTAAACACATTTCAGTAAAATTATTATATATCATAAGAATTTGTCTGATGTACAAATTAGAATATAAAGATAGATAGAGTAAGAGACGGAGTGTGAGAGAGAAAACGGAAAACTATAACATTCTCATGATATATAGTTTTTAATGATTATGTGCCTACATAATCTTAGATTTTTGTAATTGGTAAGAGAGATAATGGACTAGAAAAACAATACTAGAAGCTTAGGCAAAAAACCATATTAATGAATAAAGGACTGGACTGGATAGATTAAAAATTGCGATCAATTAAATTTCGAGTACCTGTGAATTCCAGTTCTGAGCATATTGCCCATAGTAATTCCAGTTTGCATACTGTCCATAACCCCCTTGTCCATACCCACCATATTTCCATTGATTTTGGTTCCAACTACCTGGAGCCTGGTTCCATCCCTGCTGTTGCTGCTGCTGCTGCTGACCGCCCCAGCTGCCTTGGATTTGACCGCCTCCCTGGCTGCTGCTCCAAATGCCGCCACCACCGCCGCCGCTCTGACTGTTCTGATGACCCCAGCTGCTCACTTGCTGTTGTTGGTTGCCCCAGTTATTGCCTGGATTACGACTACCGCCGCTACCACCGGAACTTCGGCTCCTGTTGTAATTGCCGCCGCCGCCGCCACCACCGCTGCCGCTACCGCCATGACTCCTAGGATCTCTGACGTTCTGCGGCCTATGCGGACGCTCAACTGTAAACACATTCACATTAATAAACCATCATCCTTGCAATCATCTCATTGTCACTCACCAATACCTCTGTTATTGCTCCTCCAATCTCTGGGACCCCTATTTTCTCTGCGATCATTTCTGGCCCATCCTCCAGCAGCCGGTCCACCGCTACCGCCGCCTCCTCCAGAGCGCCAACCACCTCCTACGTTGCTCTGCCTATAACCCCGATCTCCAAATCTATTGTTATGATATGAACGATTATCTCTGAAGTTTCCTCCGCTACGGTAATCCCCTGCGATACAAGAAACATTGTTAGGTTTTATGATTTGCAGGTATTAAATATAACTGCTATTACTTCTTGGAGGTCCGCCGTGTCCACCGCCTCCCCAGCGATTATAACTACGGTCGTCTCTGTAATCCTTTCGGTGTTGGATTTTACCAAATCCGGCGTCCCTTCCTTCCTTGTTGTATTTTTGTACTTGCGCTTTGGCTTTATCTTCTGGCAAAGATGCAAAAGTGATTTCGTCCAACCACTCGCCGGTCCTCGGAACATTCATGCTTGCTAAAACGATTACAAATTAAACGAACGCCAAATCTTCAAAATATATTGTTTAGCAAAAATAATATTAAAAAAAAAAGAAACAATATTTGCCCCATACTAGACACAAATTGAAATAATTCAAAAGTTATATAGTTGGGAAAATAATTAAAAAGTTTTACAATTCGCATTAAATGATCATTATACATGCCCATTGAATGCAATTGCCTTAATAAAGAGTGAGAAGGAGGTGGAAATTTGTTGTGAATGGATGAAAGATGTGGTGATGTATGGGAGTAAATAATTATTTTTTGTAAACATATATATATTTTACCTTTCATCTCGAGTATGGCGCTCTCTGGCATTTCTTTACCGGTCACCGACTCCTTTTGGTTCAATCTCTTCGCTTGCTCCTCATCCTCATTTACTACAATGACCGCGCGCCGCTTGAAGTCCCAAAACGAGCGCATTTTACGGCGTTGCGCCGATGGAAACACGTTTGTCTGCCACAACGCTCATAATTATAGCTCACAATTGTCAACAAATAGTTGTGCACAAAACGGCATCCACGAAAATCATACAGACACGCATCCGATGGAGACGGAGCGAGTGCAATCATTCCGGCATGCGTTTTGCGCAACATCATCATAATCTTTCTAAATAGAGTAATATAGAGCGCGGCAATTAATAGCTGCATCGAATCTCCATTCATACTCTCTTACATACTAAAGACTTACCTTACAGAACACTTTGCTGCGACTGGAACTAGAAATTTTACGAAATTGTCTGACTGGTAGCGACCTTTGTTAAATCTTACAATTCAATCCAATTTTACTTGAATTTGACATGAAAGGATAAAAAAAAAGTTCGCTACTGCCACCAAATCTATTTAGCTACATCTAACATTATAATACCAAGAATACAAAGTATTATACAGTACCTTGGTTAGATGAATATGACTTAAAATCTACCATGATTTTATACTTACAGTTTAAATCTGTTCCAATCAACATCTAGCATTGTTTACTTACTCACATTCTATTCACTACACTTCAATTACAATAATTGCATTAACCATTGTATTATTATATTAAGTATAATAATTTAAAGACGTAATTGAAATGTAGTTTTGTCCACAATATTTAAAAAGAAAGAAAAAAGATCTACCACATGTATTCTCAATGTATCGAATACAGCTATATAATATTAGCACGCATTTAAAAAGGTCTATCCGTCTCACCTGATCAATAATGAAATTACGTCGGCGAAGAGCAGCGATTTCGCATATCTTGTGTAGGCACTTGCTAATTTTATCGAGGATTAAATTCCACCTGGACTTGTTTAATTGAGTTTCAATTGGTTTTCCATCAACCTATTTATAAAAAAAAAGGAAAATAGTTATAATTCCACTCTAATAGACTAACCAACACATCTAAAATTAGTACTTACAGCCATTCTACTTAAAAGATTATTTCCTAATATGGTAAATTTCTTATCGGATTCCTTCACATGTTCCTTAATCCAATGGGTTTTTCCAGATGCAGGTAAACCAACCATCATAATAACCTACAAGTTATACATAATTAGATGATGCATATATTTTTTTTTACTTAATTTCGATAATATTACCTGGCATTCGGATCTTTTCTCGGGTCTCTGCGGACCTAATACTTTTTCGTCAAATTTATTTAAATAAATATACTCTTTTAACTCTTCTGCACATGGGCACCATGGTTCCTCGAGGTTACCAACGTTCATTGCAAACGAGTAATTCCTTGTGAGAATATGAGGATACAGTGTTAGATCTTCCTCTTCGATTTCAGAACGTTTGATTTCCTCAGCAAACATAATTTCACCATTCTTGGTGTATGTCATCTTAATAATATCATCTCCCATATCCTAAAAACAATAGCAATGTTAAGAAATATGTATTGAATATTCAGATTTCTTCGATTTTACTCACTAAATAGGCACCAATTACGTCACCAACCGCGAATTTGCATTCCTTTTCGCTGAACTCCGAATTTACAAAGAACTTGCCGCTTGATTCTAAACCGTAAGAAATTTTGTCTTCTCCCAATTGCATATTTGATGAAACCGTTGACCAACCGACACGAAACAGATGCGAAGGAATGTTTAATTCAACTTCTTTGATACCCTTATCGTCATTAGTAGCATCTTTAGCCGATTCTTCATCCTTTGTAGCCTCTTTTGACTCTTCTTTACCGTCTTCGGGAGTCTCTTTCACCTCTTCTTTAATGTCATCAGTTTCCATTTTTTCTTCTTTAACATCAACCTTCTTTTCTTCATTAACATCAACCTTCTTTTCTTCAACATTTTCAGCACTCTTCTCAGCATTGTCAGCGGTCTTCGCACCTTCATCAACGGCCATATCTTCAACCTTTTCTTCTTTTACAACTTTTTCAGTATCTTGGTTGGTAGTTTTATCGTCATCTTTTACGCACTCTGGCTCTGTAGTCTCTGCCGCATCTTTCATTTCAACATCACCATCTTTTTCTGGTACATCTGCAGCGCATTCCTTAGCTACGTCAGTTTCTTTGTTCGTGTCGGTATTGGTGGACGATTCTTGGTCCTTTTTGGTATCGTCATTTTTATTCTTTGCAACTTTATCGCGTTTATCATTCGACTTGCGATCTTTCTTCTCCTTATTCGGGGTTCGCAGTACATCATCAAAAGGTAGCTCTTCAGTAAGTTTAACTTCGTAAAATGTCTATGCAAGATAAGAAAGTTTCATTAGTATTTAGTTTAGAAAATAGAAACAGCGATTTAAAAATACCTTTCCGCTTTTAATTCCATGCGATAATCTTGCACCAGACCAAATATAACCAAACAGTCCGTCGTGCAATGGCTTTGCAGATAAGAATGTCTCTTTATCAATTTGTAGGTGAAGGTCGGAATCATCTGTAATTTAAAATATATATATATCTGATACAGTATTTCCATAGATATTTACAAATGATAAAAATCTGATTTTAGATAAAGCTACCATATAAATAATAGGATAAGAATATAAATGTTCTTTTTATATATATTTATATTATATATAATTATAAAAAGAAGTAAAACAAACGGAAACATAACGAAGTTAATTTATTTTAGGTAGTTTTACATCTACTTTTCCTTTGCTACAAAAAAAATCAATTTTTGTTAAGAAGATTTAAAGTATAAACTCCAAAAAATTATCTACATATGCACTAACTACAAATTAGAAAAAAAGGAAACAACTACGAAATCAACTGATAGCTAAACGTAATGTAAATAAAACTCTATGAAACGTTAATAAACTTAAAAAACTTTAAAGAAGACTAGCTATCAATCAAGGACAAAATGCATTTACTCTACAACCAAAGAAATTTAAACTAGAGGTTGTTGTGTCTTGGATTTACTTACACCAGCTTAGTTGAACATTGCTGGAATCAATGGCAGGTTCTTCATCTTTGTTAGGGGATTTGCTGCGCCTCCTCTGCTGTGGCTGATCTGGAGAAGGTGTGCGTTTGCGTTTCTCGGCACGAACTTGATTATCCACTTCCATTTTCTGCTGTTCAGCCTGTGGAGCTTCACTCTCCTCCTTTGGGGCTTCCTCAACAACATCTTTCTTCTCCTCTTCACTGTTAGATCCCCAACGAGATTTTCGATTTTTCGGTTCGTCGCTGTCCTGCAATATATTTAATAACCAAATAAACATATAGAATAAAATAATTCATGCAATTACCTCATCCTTATCCTCAGCAGCGCAATCTCCATTCTGTTGCTCAACAGATTCCTTGCTTTGAACCTCATCTGCTTCAGTAGGCTTTTCTTCTACCTTAACTTCAGCGACTGGTTCAAGTTTTGGTTCAACAAGAACCTTTTTGTCTTCACTTTTAGCAGGTTCTTCTGCCTCGTCCATTATTTCGTCTTTCACAGAGACAGGTTTTTCTGTTTCAGGGATAGCAACAGGCTTCTCTGTTTCGGGGGTAGCTACTGGCTTCTCTGTCTCAGAGGGAACTTCCACTTTAGTTTCATTCATGTTTTTGTCTTCTTCTGTTTTATCAGGTAGACATTCTGTGCTCTACAAAAAAAAACAGTTACAAGTTAATGTTTGTTTACAATTTTTGGGATGATTGTTGATTTTACTTTAACAGGTTTCTCTTCTTTAGGTACACTTTGTTCTTCTAGTTGTACAGGGTCAGGGGAATCTTGATCTACATTATCCTCCTCCTCTTCTTTATTATCATGATCCGCCTCTTGTGAACTGTTCAAGTCTTCCGTTGAAGTATCAGCAATTGATGTATCTGGTATTACTTTAATAAAACATTAATAATCGAGTGTGGGAAAGATGTGTGCAGGGTGAAACAGATTGGATGAGGCTCGAACGTATCGCAGCGAAATCCAAACAAGTGAATTGGGGGGGAAATTGGCGCCGTTTTCTACGATCAAAACAATACGTTCGTTCCGAGTTCAGAGCGCGGCTGCATTGAATTGTTAACGAGTTATAGATTTATCGGTGAGGGAACGTGAACGTATCGCGAATGCGGATTAAAAATAACGTACCTTTTTGCAGCTCTGCCTCCAAAGCTTCTTTCAAACGCTTAACCAAAACCGGCTTGTTGCCTTTCACATCCAAGCCCCTGGTCTGCAGTTCGGCCCTCAACTCGACCACTTTCAACTTCGCAGGGTCCAGATCGGAACTCATGTTTGGTTTTTCAAATTAAACGCTTTTTTACCAATGCAGAATACTCGGATATAAACACGTACAACGCACAAAAGCACGCGCAATTTTTACAAATGGCGGACGCTTCCCTCAACGCAAGTTAGCCAACACAGAAACACCAACACCAGATTTCCATCATCGCCTTCTCACTCCCTCTACCTGTTACGTAAGCACTCACTCGAAGTATTGTATAGTCAATACCAACGGTACTTTCAAAACAATTATAATTTAAATTATCTTTTCAGCGTACTATTTCATACATCATCATCAACCACTTACTACAAGAAATCATGTAAAATGAAATAACATTAATTAATTGCAATTATAATTTAAATTAAAAGTTCTATACATACAAAAGTGTATCAATTTTTCATTAGATAAGCAATGATTTCATATTTGCCCTTGAGATTGGCGAGAACTTGTTGTTTTTGTTTGTTGTTGTTTCATTATCGTTACGATATTAATAAATATCGTTTTCGTAATACCCAAATTAGTCCCAACTTTCTCCAAATAGAAACTTTCGAATCATCTATCTTAAATTAACCGGTTTTTTTTTCATTTTTTCATTCAATTTTCCTTTTTTTCTCGAATAAGTTATGGCATCAAGTATCTAAAAAAAAAACACCGTTTTGTTTCGAGGGTTGCCAACAAAGTGATTTTCAACCGGAACATCCTGTTTGCATTTAATACTTCCATCTTTTTTTCCATGTCTATGCATTTATGTAACATATCAATGTTTGATTATTTTAAAGCACGAAAATTAAAACTAATAGACTTCAACTAATTTGATCCCACGTTTCGACAGTAGAAAGGTAAAATGTATTTCAATTTTTTTAAGCAAAATTGAAGAAGTGGAGGAGGAACAAAAAGATGAAACATATAAATGCTTTAATATCATTTGTAGATCAGCGTTAAATTAAATTATTATCTTATATCACCAAATATATAGTAGTTACTACGTGTTTGTAGTCTTTACTGAATGATGCAAATAAGAAGTAAATACCAATCGTTAACGTGTATGTTAAAAACTAATGTAATGAAAGAGTGTCATTATATTAATTATTAAATTTACCTTTTGTAGCCCTGAGGAGAAGGCATCATGTTGTCTCCAGGAATTATATAAACTTCTCTACAATAGTTTAATCACTAAACCAGTTAAATTGATACCGAAAAACCGATTTAGCTGTTGTTCATATATGACTTTAGGGGAGTGTGCATAAATCTCTTGAACCAAATACCGATGGATTTAAGGTTATCATCTACAGGAAATTTCGACTCACTTTCGCATTCCATTCTTTTTGCACATCGTGCCGAACCGGACTGCTCCCCACAGCTGGATCTTTATACCTGATTCCAGCCCGGGAATCTTCAAGTGCGATGTCACATTCGACGCGATGTTCACGGGGGATGCAATAAAGGGAGATATGATGGACCAATCCAATTTATATAAATATTTTCCGATCGCATTCGCAAAATTTATTAGTATTTTTTTTAATTGTTTAAATATTTTGAAAGAATTCGAAGACAATTAAAACTATATTACAGTAATTATAAATTGCTGATTAAGTTTAAAATATGTAGATTTTGATTAATTGCCCCACGTTGAGCTCCAAAAAGATAATAATATCAAAGATGGTAGCTAGGTTTCTCGAAAACAATTATAGCAACGGTTGCTACGACCATAATTGTCAGTTTGACAATGTTTGATCAATAGATTCTTTTCGCATACACACACAGTTCAAAATTTTCGTGCTCTTTTCGCTATGGATGAAGACGAAGAGGAAATTATCGGTTTGTTCAATTATTTCTCCCTTTTTATTTTTTATTCAAGTTTTAAATTTTTAGTGCCTATAAATAACGATTTGGAGAAGAAAATTGCTGAAACTTTCGATATTTTCGACCATTCCGGCATGAGAACCGTGGATGCGAGAGAGGTGGGAACAATAGTCCGGGCTTTAGGTTGCTGCCCCACCGAAGCGGAAGTCCAGGAGTTGGTACTTCAAATGGAAGACGCCAATAATCCCGGAAGCATACATCTGATAAACTTCCTTCCGGTGATTGCAAAAGTTATATCAGAACACAAGTAAAAAGTGTCCACGTTTTTATTGATATAGTTGATGTTGAAACTTTTTTTTGTACAAGATTTGAGCCCGAATCTCCTGCAAAACTGCTGGAGGCGTTCCATATCCTTGACCCGGACGGCCACGGGTACATTACCAAAGAGCATATGTCCACAATAATCACGCAGGACGGAGAACCTTTCACGCAAGATGAATTGGACGAAATGCTGGAGATCGCAATAGATCCGCATTCGCAGACCATACCGTATGAGTACTACATCAATCAACTAATGGTTTGTTCTTGTACACTTCTTATCCGACTATTTACGTATCGCTTGTTACACGGAGACATTGATGAAGCAATGAAATTAGTATTTAATAAGAGTATTTTGGTATATGTTGTTTAGCATGAACCGGAAGGTGAAGATAATATTTATGTGTTGGGTGATAGAATTGAAGGGGAAAAGCCGCCTCCGCCTCCACCGCCAAAACGGTTCTCGCAGATATTCGCAGAAATGCAAAGTCAATTGTGAAAACAAACATATATATTTGTAGTATAATCAATGTAAAAAAAATCGTAAATACAAAGCGATAATTGAAAAGCTAATTAGTGTGTTTAAAGCTTGGAGAATTCGATATCATCACTCTTGGTGGCTTGAGCCATAACAGCGCTGGCAAAGTCATCGCTTTGCAGCATAAATTGATTCCATGACGCCTAAAAAAAAGTAATCAAAACTAAAGTATTTTGAGTTTTTAGGTGGAATAAGCTACTTACAATCTGATCAAGACTGTCTCGGACCGAATGATCTCTGGCGTAGATCAAAGAGCGTTTGATACCCTGCACGGCGACCGGACTCTTGGACGCAATGTCTTCAGCAATTTTCAAAACACCATCCATCATTCTGCAAACGAAAAATGACATGTTAGGACTGTGTAGACTCTCGCAATAAAGTAATACTTTTCTTTATCATCGAATACTTTGGATACTAAGCCTTGCGAAAGAGCCTCGTCGGCCATCATTTTCCTTCCGGTCAGACATAACTCGCGGACCAATCCTTGGTTTCCGATGATTTTCGGAAGCCTCTGGAGGGTGCCCACATCAGCAGCCATTCCCATATCAACCTTAAAATTATGAATCATGATATCAACATTCTCTTTCTGTACAGAGTGAAACTTGTCTTGAAGGTAACAATTTGAATGCGACAAGATTCTGAATTCTTACTTCTTTGACTTGGAAGTAAGCATCTTTGGAGCAATAACGGATATCAACGCCTGACACGAAGTCAACACCAGCACCAATGCAAGCGCTGTGAACCGCTGCAAGCACAGGTTTGCTGCATTCTTCCATAGACGAGAAACTAGCTTGGAACCTGCTGATGAGTTGCTGAAGAATCTTCGCTTTACGGGCGACGTCTTCAGCCTCCGCCAATTCCGGTGCAACTCTCATTAAATCTTTTACATCAATACCTGAAATGCATTTTCTACAATAGACTACACATATCAATTGCTTATATATGACGCTGTACCAGCAGTAAACAGTTTTCCTGCTCCCGAAACGACGATGACTCGACAATCTGGGTTGAAGCTCAACTCATTGAAGCATTGTCCGATCTCTCTGGAAATAATTGAGAAATCATGAAGAATGAGGTTAAGGTGATTATAAGGGGGCCTCATCGAATCTTGATACTCACGTCCACATAGTTTGATTCATTGCGTTCACTTTTTCGGGCCTATTGAATTCTACATGGTACACGAAGGGCTTTGGCACCGTCACCGCCAAACTCTTGAAGCTCGGTACATTCGAAGACATGTTTGCTGCGGCTGCTTTTACGCCTGAGGAAGTTGAAAAAGAAACAATTAATTAGCGGATAAAACAATCAAAGCTTTTAACTATTTACTAGCAAACGACTTATGTAAGAGGCGGGCGCTACTCGAAAACATTATAAAAGGTGTAAATCAAACAATTGTAAGCAGACTATATACTTATACTCAACGATTCTTTGGACTTTGAACCCGTCCGTCTGTGAACACGATTACAGTGTTTATATTATTATTTACTTATCACAGAAGTCTGATTCGCGATGTTGACTATAGTACTATAAGTCCTCTATGCATAAAATACAGTTTATTAATATTGTTTAAATGTTAAATTACAAAAATATACTTTGCAACAATACTTTCTACTTTGCAACCATCCACAACATGACCTAAATAATATTACTTGAAATCAATAAACAAATTTAATACAAAAAAAAGTGCAAATAGGACAAAAACCTGATTAATTTACATTTAATTAACTTATAAATTAGTATATTTTCATTCATATAAAGTTTCAGAAAATATTTCAATGTTAAATTTAGATAATTAAGGCTAAAAGTAATAACAATAATGAAAAGTTCCAAAGTTTAATTCTGAAATACTAAAAATGTTGGGAAACAACGCTCGTACAAACAATACAAATCTTAGCAGATTAATACAAATATTTGCATTTTGTAATTAAATTTCGATAAGTTTGTACTGCAACCAACATTGATTCAAATTTACTGTTGACCATTAAAAGATAGGTTAGATATCAAGTTGTGAGCCGACAGCCGGGATCAGCTGTGGTTCTTACTGCCAGAAGTTTCCTGAAAAAAAAAAGTACGTTTTTATTTGCTGATGTATCCTGGTTTGCACGATTTTAAATTGCATTGTAAATTATCAATAAAAACAATATTATAAATTTTAGGTTAAATCATATTGCAACATATTACAGAAGAAATATGGTAGAGAAAATTACAGAAGCCCTTAGGGCTATCAAGTGAGTTTATTAAAATAAACAAAATTTTAAAATGGTTAATGCAAATACTTTTGGGTTTTTTAGTTACAAGGGACCATACACGGACCAAGCTAAATTGGAGGAACTTATAGTGCTTGGCCTAGGAAGTCTTAACTTCTTTGAACTGATAGTGTATTTGACTAATGAGATTAGGGTGCTGTACAAACTGGATGAGAATGTCAGTCCTGTTACATCATTGGGGGACACAACAGAATTTATCATGGAGCTGAGCTCTTTTCTGAGGGAGCTTGGTTGTCCACATGAGAAGATTACACAGGGACATGTGTCTGGAAGGCTCAGTGAACTCAATGACAAAATGGTATTGATGCAATACTTGGTGGGAGAAGTTATGACTGCTAGGATCCTTAAAGAGAAGAAGGTGGATAATCAATTTGATCTGAAATTGGTGAGTAATTTGTACTTTTGGATTCCTATTAGATTAGAAATTGGAAAATGTTCTCTATTTGAGAAATATTGTATTAAACTACATATGCATTCATTTTTAGTCTAATATATTTGTTTGTTTTAGCAAGAATCAGCGCATGCGAGCAATTTGTCCAAGATATTGCAGACGTTGAACATCCCAAAACCTCCGGCCAATTTATCTCTGTCAGGGCTTTTCCAAAAATTGCACACGACTGTGACTGCGTTGGTGCATAAAGCACCGGAAGATTTAGTAGGAAAACCGATTTGCAACTTCAGCATGCAGGATAAGCACTGGGAGATCCTGCAGACGGTGCACAGGAATCTGGACGAGGAGTACTCGTTTCGCAGGGAGATGATGTTGACCAGATTGGATTGCACCGTGCAGTCCTTCAAGTGGTCGGATTCGATGAAGGGAAAGGATGAGATTATTAAGAAGGCTTACGCCGACAAGCGAAAACAGCTTCGGGTCGAACCGAACGTGCGGATCTCCGACTTGCTCAGCGCTCGCTCCGACATTGCCATCATCGAGAAGACGAGTAACGCTGGCGTGCGAAAGAATACGCAGACGTCCATCAATAAGGTCTTGATTGGGCAGGTCCCAGATCGAGGAGGCAGGACCAACGAGCAGGCGGCTCCGCCCCGCGAAATGCCATCCTGGACTCAG